ACTCACAGAGCACTAAATGTGGATTAATCCACCACTAAAAAATAGTCCTCATGTTACAGTGATCAGCTGTTATAGAAAATTACTGGGCCTTCTTTAAAACTGAAACTATAGTTGTGAGGTGTTTTTAAAGATTTACATCTTCAGTCAGAACCAATGGACTTGGAGCTGAGAGCCAAAGACAGTGGAGAAGGGAAGCATTGAGAGATGGGTTGAAAAATATTAAATATATTAAATATATTTTTTTTTAATATTTCTGTATATAAAGTAGATTAAATACAGGTGACACCATATTTCTGTCTGTGATTCAAATTTGAGGATATGGCCTTTAAACAACAATAAAATAAAAGGCAAATTTTTATAACAAAATCCTGAAATCATCCTGTTTGCACTTGATAGAGAAACGCTAGTATTTAGAGTAGCAAACATCTGTGTTCAAACACTGAATGATAAGGTATCTGTTGGTCAACATGTGGGACTGTATCCTTATGCATTCTGTGTGAGGCCGTTTGGTGATGAGCGTACCTATTTTGGCGTAATATTCATTGATGTACTCGTTGTAGGCCATCTCCATCAGGCCATGGCCCAGGTTGTAGTTCGGGAAGATGAGGAAACAGGACTTCAGGTAACTGTTGACTTTTTTCAGATCCTGGAGGAAAAAAAAACAGTGAACGAATAAATACAAAAACATCCAAAAGCCACATCTGAATCGCAATGTCCAAAAGTAGCATTTCATTTTCCTATCTTCATTTATTTTCACCGAAGTGTGTGAGAGAGATGGTGTGTCTGACTGTAACAGCTAAGCTCTAGTAGCTACGTGGGTTAGAGTTTGGCGGTTAGAGTCAAACTGACCTTGTCATGTTCAAAGAGCTGGAGCAGGAAGGTGGCAACAGTCGCAGTGATGCCTATGAAGAGGTTGATGACTATGAGGAACACGTAAGCTGTACTGGGAACTTCGAACCAGAAAGATGCTGGGTACATGATGGGAGTGATGGACCACCTGGAAGGTAAGAACAAAATCACAGAGGATGTCCAAAACATCAGGACATGAGAGACAAAAAGAAGCTGGAGGGCACTTGGTTTACACCAAAATACAAACCCATGAAGATGCAATAAATCAGTTCACACATAGTGAGAGTTCAGTAAAACTGCACTCAAACACATCATTTATAATTTCACATTAGTGATAGTGACTGCATTAAAAGCCACAGTCAGCACTGCTGCTGTTTTTCTAGGTCAGAGCTTCCCACTGGTGGAGGTACTGCAGGTGGGCCGCAGTCTGAGCTATAAAAATGTCTTTCATGTGGCAAATTCATCAAAATATTCCTACTTTGGAAAAAAAGGTTTCGAAATGTAAATAAATCAAAATAATGAATCATTTGACATTAACTAGCTGGGGTGTTGAGATTTCTTAGATCTGTGCACCACCACTATTAGTGTAGTAGTAATGTTCGCTTTATTGGTATTTTTGCTACTATTTAATAAATAATGTTATTTTGTGAAAAAACAAAATAAGGTAGGCGGAGGGCCTCTGAGGTTTTGCTGAATTTGTATGGGGCCTCAAGCCTCCAAAGTTTGGGAACTCTGTTCGAATGAAAGCAGTGGGGCGTGTGGTCAGCTGTCTACTTGAGATGCCTTAAATCTTCTTTTTCCTTTATTTCTTTGTTTTTGTTAAACAGTTTTAGACCAGAGTAAAAACACCATGGTCACAGACCTTTCAGCCTTCTTTATTTTTTGGTTGCTTGCAAGTTTGGTTATCTAAGAATCAAAACTGCTGCACCCATGGGTGTTTTCACACGAAATTACAAGTTGCTATGGTTGGAACTTTTGGTTTTCACCATCTTTGTAACATGAAACTAACAGCAATATGGGCCAACAAAGTATGTCAGCAAAAATATGGCCACAAGCAGAACTTACTCTTGATTACCATCATGGTATTGAAGGGACAGTTCACACATATTATTAAAACATCCCAACATTCTTTCATTTCATCTAGTGGTACATCTCCAGTCAGACAACTTTGGTTTTATTTGCCCAGGTTTGGAGATTTCTGTCTGACATTTCCTACACCTCAATACAATGGATGTGAATGAAATTTAATTTTGCTGCAAATATACAGAAACAAGTCTTTACAGTAACACTGTCCCTGCTATTATAGATAATCCACAGAACACACTGTAAACTGTTTTCACAGGGACTATTTTTGACCAGTAGAAAGTAGTTTCTCATTGTTATTTGATGGAAGGCCAGAAAAGTATGCTATGTGTTTAAACTGAGGAAGTTCAATCGATCACAATATAAAGAAGGGGTGCTCCAGTTGGTAGCCAACAGCCCAGATTCAAATTCAACCCGTGGCCCTTTGCCACCGACTTAGGGTTTCTGCATGTTCAACTTAGGTCCTTTTCAAGACCCTTATGAATGCAAATGAAGAGGATATGAAGAAAAATCATTGTTGGTTCCACGTTGGTTCCATTTTGTGGTCGTAACAGAGACTGAAAAATGTAACTTTACATTAACGTCATTAAGACAACACATTTATACAAGACCTCTACATTTTAAGGCCTAAAATTCAGATTTTAGACTTTTTAAGACCCTGTGTGGACACCCTGCCAACTGAATTTCATTCACTTTCCTGTAATTTCAGTGAGCTGATCCTTTAACTGAAGCTGTGAGACTACTAAACCACACTGTAATTAGACCTCAACCAGTGAATGGCTATGAATAAGGTAACTGCATTCAAATTCAACCACTTTAAACGCCAGATAAGCATGAAGTAAAACTCTGTGTGTGTGTGCAGTCAGATGTCTCACCCGTAGAGAAGAAAGAGTGAGAGGACAGCAGGGAAGTTGGTTGGGGAGGTGTAGGCCGGCAGGTCGAACACAAACAGAATAATAACACAGCATGTGGCAGGTACCAGGTAGTTGAGCTGAGGAGAGAGGAAAGGACAGAACATGTTCACACACTGCAGTATTTACAGTGACTAACAGCTACACATCCAGAGCCCTATATCTATTAGCATCAGTCACACACACATTGTATCCTCCTCACCATGTCCCATATGTAGTTAGCCAGCCAGTAGATGACAGGGTCACAGCCACTGACAAACTGTAGGTGTTTGGCCTTTGTGGATTTCTCTGCAACCAGGAACACCACAAAGCTGGCTGGCACAAAAGACATGGCCACAATAATGAAGATGGCAATCACCACATCGGTCCCCTGGAGCCTGGAGACACAGGGGAGAGGGGAGGACATTTACACTTACACTAAACTGACTCTATATTGCTGAATTCACAAGGGCGATACTGCTCAAGTTACACTGACAAACCTTGCTAATACTGGAAACCAGCAGAATTAATTATGGCAGAGGTGGGACCAAGTCATTGTTTTGCAAGTCACAACTAAGTCTTTGCACCCCAGTCCCAAGTTAAGACAAGCAAGGGCCAAGTTAAGTCCTGAGTCCTAACAATTGAGTTTTGAGTCCAAGTCATAATGCGCTCTCACCAAATGTAATGCCATTTTAACAACAGGGTAACAATAAATTAAAGAGGCCATATTAATTTATTTTTCAGATTCATACTTTTATATGGTGGGTGTGATGGAAAAACTTTGAAGAATAAAAAAAACAAAACAAATTGTGGTGAGCAGCGTGGAATGAGAGACAGGAAGCAGCTCTCAGCAATGTCACCCCTTTAATGACATTCAAAACAGGGGACAAGAACTTAAAAACACAGTATACTATAGGCTGTATACTACGGAAGCCGAGAACGGCCATGGTTTATTTTTTTTTTATGCCAACCTTAATCGTGCAATAACGACTTATTATCTCGTTATTAACTCGACTCACACAAAGATCGTTTTTCTCGAGACATAACCTAATGAATTTAATAAGTGTTCGTCTTGAATTCCAACCTTACAAGAGCTGTCACCAACAGCTTCCAGTCCAAAGTACAAGACAGAACCCGGGTAAAGTGTCAATTTACCGTTAGCCTACAGCACAGCCAGGTGGCCTTTACGTTCGTGAAAACTTGTCACCAAAGAAAAAAGTTTGCTTGATCTCGCGAGATATACAAAAAGTTGTTTTCTCGTTATACGACGAATTCATTCTAATTTCGTTATCTCGACCATACAAAGATGTTAATTCGTGATGAGCAATTAATTA